CTGCCCGCAGGGTTCTAGCTTAAACTCGGAATTAAATATCTGGATCCCTGGCGATAAGAGTCTTCAGGCAGCAGGAAGTCATCCCCCTCCTAAATCCAGTAGTAAACAAAGATAAGGCTCCCACACAAGAGCAGTGAATCCACTGGGATATTTGGACCTTGTGAACTTGGAAAGGCAAAGAAATTCAGCACAAACTCCTGTTATGGGGGAGGTGGAAGCTAGAGACCTGGGTTCAGATACTGTCTCAGAGGTTCATCTGTTCAGTTTATTTTGGGGCACCAAGCATGGTTCTATTTGTAGAGGGTACAAAATAAAGGTACCTGGCCCTGTGCCAGCCTAAACGCTTGCACTGGAGACAGAGAATTAACAACTGAAACATAAGATATGTAAGTGCTAGCAAAGCAATAATCAGGGGACAGAGAGCTGAAGTTTGGGAGGCAGACCATCTGGCTTTGAGTATGGGTTGTGACCATGACTTATTACTTCCCTTCTGTGTGCCTCAGTATCCTTGTCTGTAAAATGGGGGAAATGGGGAAAACACTACTTAAGGTAGTCTGTTCAGTCTATAATAAGTCTGTTATATAACAGACTCTACCAAGTCTGACTGTAACCAAAACCAACAAATGATAGCAAACTGGGGGCACAATGGAAGTTTATTTCTCATGGTTCTGTAGGTTTAGGTGTCCAAGATCAAGGTGCTGGCTGATTCAGATCCTGGTGAGACCTCCCTTCTAGGATTATATATGTGACCACCTTCTAAGTTCTCACATGACCCTTTCTTCCATGCCTGCACATATTCATTTATAACAAACTTCTAGGAAGTTGTGAAGCTTAGCTTGAGTAGTACACATAAAATGCTTAGAATGATACCTGGCCCTTGGTATATTTGCAAGCAATGTTATCCACATGAACAACATGAAGGAGATTAAAGAGGAGGGGAACAAAGAGTGATTAGCAGGGATGCAGATAGCACTAAGAAAGGTGGTCAGGGGCTTCCCTGGTGGTCTAGTGGCTAAGACTGTCCTCCCAATGCAGGGGACCCAGGTTCAATCCCTGGTAGGGGAACTAGATTCCACGTGCCATAGCTAAGAGTTCGAATGCCACAACTAAAGATCCTGCATGCCACATACAACACCTGGTGCAGCCAAGTAAACTTAAAAAAAAATTTTTTTTAAGTGTCAGGAAAACCCTTTTTAAGGAGGTGACAGGGAGCTGAGACCCAAATGGAATCAAAGAGATAGCTACACAAAGATCCTTGGGGAATAGTGTTTCTAGCAGTGGACACCGTTAGTGTGAAATTCCTGAGATTGGAAGGAATTTAGGTCTTTGAGGGTGGAAAAGGGGGAACCTGTGTGGGTGGAGCCTAGGGAGCCAAGGAGAGGGGAGTGGGAGATGGGATAGGCAGGAGTTAGGTAGTTCATGGCCTTGCTGGCCATGGTCTTTGTCTTGGGAGCCCTGGAAGTTCTCATGATTTGGCTAATAAATCTTAAGTAAATGAAGAACAGTAGAGAATGAGCCCAGCCCAGTTCAGTTCAGTTGCTCAGTCGTGTCTGACTCTTTGCGACCCCATGGACTGCAGCCCACTAGGCCTCCCTGTCCATCACCAACTCCCGGAGTTTACTCAGACTCATGTCCGTTGAGTTGGTGATGCCATCCCACCATCTCATCCTCTGTTGTCCCCTTCTCCTCCTGACTTCGATCTTTCCCAGCATCAGGGTCTTTTCAAATGAGTCAGCTCTTCGCATCAGGTGCGAAGAACAGTAGAGAAAGAGCCCAGCCCAGGGACTTGCAGATTTGGGTTTGAGTCTGGGCTCCTTGACTAGCTATGTGTCCTTGGGTAAGTTTTTTCACTTATGGAGGCCTTAATGTCCACATCTGAAGAAAAAAAAAAAAAATGTTAAAAATGCCTCTCTCCTGGAAGCTTCTGAAGATCCATGGATGTGTCTTTGGTTCTTAAATGTTAAATGTTGGTTGGGATGACCCAGAAAACATGTTGAGAATAGGTTTATGACTCCTACCCCATGCTCCCTGGATGATGATCCTCATGCCGGGAGCTCAGAGTCATCACTGTAAGAAGTGGTGGGTAGAAGAGTCCTCTGTGAACAGGGAAGTGAGGAGCTGATAGTGGGGTTTCAGAGTCTAGGCTACCTGGCCCTCCACTGCTGCTGGAGCTGATATCTTCTGGGACTAGCCTGGTGCTCCCCTCCCGTTTTCCCTGGGAAGTGCTTTAGGACAGGTTTACCCCTCCAGCTACCTGCTTTCTGGCTCAGAGGGGGAGGTTGAGGCTCAAAGCTCAGAACCCCCAGGTCCAGCCCTCTGAGAGGGAGACAGAAACATAATGGGGACTGGCTCTGGTCTCCAGGCAATTCTACAGGGATGTGAAAAGACCAAGGTGTAACCTGAGCTCAAGAGTTCTTGTCCCCACGGGGCTAGCCCAAGCAGCAAAGTCTGGGAGGGCCCAACAACCCAAGGCAGATTAAACACCTGGATTTCAAGTCTGCTGCATGAGTTATTAGCTATGTGATCATGGGTTAATCACTAACCTTCTTGGAACCTCAGTTTTGTTTTTAATAAATTATATTTATTTATTATTTTTGGCTGTGCTGGGTCTTTGTGGCTGTGCACTGGCTTTCCCCAGTTGTGGCAACTGGGGCTACTCTCTAGTTGTGGTGCCTGGGCTTCTCATTGAGGTGGCTTCTCTTGTTGCGGGGCACAAGCTCAATAGCTGTGGCACACAGGCTTAATTGATCTGAGCATGTGGAATCTTCCCAGGCTGGGGATCGAACCCATGTCCCCTGCATTGGCAGATGGATTCTTAACCACTGGACCACAGGGAAGTCTAGAACCTCAGTTTATTCATCTGTAAAATGAGAATAAATAATCCTGATCTCAGAAAGCTATGAGAGAATAAGGTAGCACATGCAGCAAAGTATCTGGCTCTGATAAGATTCAGTAATTGAGGGCAGTAATTATTATCTCATTCAGCCCTTCCCAACCCTGTGAAGTAAGTCCTGTTATTACCTCCCTTTTTTCAGATGAGAAAAATTGAGGTCCTGGAGCAGGAAGTACATTTCTCCGGGTCAGTGTACAGCTAGGAAGCGAGCAAGCTAAGAGTCAAAGCCAGGCAGTTTGACTTCAGAGACTGCACTTAACCACAAAGCTACCTTGTTTCTCTGGGCCTCAATGCCTTATCTGAGAAAGAAGGTTAATGATAGAACTTATCTCTTGGTGCCCATGTGAAGGTCAAGTGAGTTAAAGCATGTAAAGAGCTTAGGATATTGTCTGTTATTTAGCAGGCACTCTGTACATATGAGCTCTTATTTTTATTAAGGAGACTGTCAGACTGGCCAGAGATGATCTGGAAGGGAGGTTGTGAGAGCCTCATCCAGGGATAAGCAGATCCCCTGGAAACTGTAGGTGGAATTCAGCCCTGGGGAAGGTGGGGCCTCAAGCCCTTAACTCACCTTCCAGTCCTAGGATTTAGTCGGAAAAGTACCAAAACCAAGCTGGGGGTGGAACAGAGCTGTGTAGGATGGGGGTCAAAAACCAAAGGGAGATGCAGGATGAGCTTCCTTTGGGAAGTAAGGCTCCAAAAGGAAGGATTGGTGAGATCTGTAACAGCCAGGAAGGATCTGGGAACTTGTGTGATGTGATGGAAGCCATGGGAAGTTCCTGAGTAGGGGACCGAGCATTACATGGCACCTTAGGGAGAAGACTCCAGCTGCCTGTGCACACTAGACTGTGTATGTGGGGGACAGGAACTGAGGCAGGGCCACTAGGCAGAGGATGCTGATTCTAAAGATGCACCCCTTGCCACTCACCCTCAGAGACTCCTGCGTCCTCCCTGGGTCATAAATTAAAGCCACCAAATCCCTGAGGTATACGGATGAGGAAACAGGCCCAGAAAGGAGAATCCTGACCTCTCACCTCCCAGTCCACCTTCTGGGCACACGTGGCTCCCCTCCCCTCTCCATAGTATTGTCCTCGCCCCCCATCCCTGGCTGCCCCCAGCAGCTGCTGCAAGCACTCCTTAAGTGGATCTGCTATAATCCTCTTCCCTTCATCCCCCAGGGAGGATGAGCTGGTGTTAAGACTAATGTAGCCATTAATCCTATTTCCTCCCAGCCATGATCCCCAGGAGCAGCTGGGTGGAGGGTGTCTGGACTCTGAATGGAAAAAGAAGGGGCCGTGGCTACAGCCGGGTGTCCCAGGAGGCCAGGCCAGAGCAGATACATTGAGTAGGAGACAGAGGCTTCTAAGTTCTGCTAGCAGTGGCTCAAGCCACTTGGAGAGTGACTGAACTCCCCATTACCAGAGTTATGGGAGCAAGAACCAAAGGGCCATTCCAGAACAGAGGGTGGACCAGGATTCCTATCTGGGGTGGAGTATCTTACAGCTGTGCGAGGCCAGAATTCTGTGCGAACAGTTGCTGCCTCTGACAGCTAACCAACCAGAAAGGAAAGACAAGATACACATGCTGGGGACCTACCCTTCCAGACAGATGATGCCAATCACCACATTTAGCCCGCTGGCTCTGCCCTCCTCTGGACCCATGTCTCTTTCCTGAGCACTTAGAGACCTTCAGGCCAGACTCACACCTGGGTAGCCTCCGTGCCTGCAGCCTGGCACAGGTCTTGGACGCTGAGGTTAAGAACATGACGATGGTGAGATGGACCGAGCCTGGGCCTTCTGGGAATGCCACAGGGCTTAGAGAAGCCCAAAGGCTGGGGAGAGAAGTGCCAGTGAACATTTGGATGATCCCAGCCTCCCCTGTCGGCTCCTCTGAGGTCACCTAGTCCAGCTCCTTTCATCAGTGAATGGACCAGAGGGGCAACAGGAGCACAGACAGGACATGCACCCAGGTGGGACATGCAGATAAGTTAAGAGTTCCTTCTGAGGCCTCCGAGGGCTTTGGTGAGGAGAGAGTCCTTGGAGAAATCGGAAAGGGGTGTGGCTCCTAACTTTGATTCTCTTGCAGAGAAGATCCGCCCATCGAGGCCATGGAGGTAGAGTCTCCGGAGGAGCGGTCCCCAGCCCCCGGCTACAAGCGCTCTGGCCGCCGCTACAAGTGCCTGTCCTGTACCAAGACATTTCCAAATGCACCCCGGGCAGCACGCCATGCTGCCACGCATGGGCCTGCAGACTGCACTGAGGAGATGGCTGAGGCGAAGCTGAAGCCAGAGACAGACCCCAAAGCGGAAGATGCCAGCGGGGACAAGGTGTCAGGTGCAGCAGCCAAGCCTCGGCCCTATGCTTGCCCGCTGTGCCCCAAGGCCTACAAAACAGCACCAGAGCTGCGCAGCCATGGGCGCAGCCACACGGGCGAGAAGCCCTTCCCTTGCCCCGAGTGCGGCCGCCGCTTCATGCAACCCGTGTGTCTGCGCGTGCACCTGGCCTCACACGCTGGCGAGCTGCCCTTCCGCTGCGCGCACTGCCCCAAGGCCTACGGCGCGCTCTCCAAGCTAAAGATCCACCAGCGCGGTCACACCGGCGAGAGGCCCTACACCTGCGCCGACTGTGGCAAGAGCTTCGCCGACCCCTCGGTGTTCCGCAAGCATCGGCGCACGCACGCAGGCTTGCGACCCTACAGCTGCGAGCGCTGTGGCAAGGCCTATGCAGAGCTCAAGGACCTTCGCAACCATGAACGGTGAGGGAGGTGGACTGGGTGGGGGCCTCTGAAGGGGTTGGGAAGAGTGCACCAGTAGGGTAAAGGCGTTGAGCCCCAGAGAGCGGAAGGAACCAATGGGAAGGCGAGTGGGATCTAGCGGAAGGATCTATGGGAGCTGGAGGGTGTTCTGGTACATGATTGGCCTGGGTTCCTAGCGCACAGGGAAGGGGACGGGGCTTGAATTTGGGCTGCTCCTAGGGTCTTTGGTCCAGTGCAAGAGGTGCAAGTCGGGCCCGGGTCTGGGGCATGCAGTGATGGATCTGGAACCTACACCTGTCCTGAAGGCTTTTTACTCTGGGGTACAGTGCTGTGGCCCGTAGACCAAGGCCCCAGAGAGGTTAGTGGGCCCTAACTTCCAGTGCAGACAGGCAGCGGGGGTTAGGCAATTGGCTGCCACCTTCACACCGGGTCTCCGCACTCCCACAGGTCCCACACCGGCGAGCGCCCCTTCCTCTGTTCAGAGTGCGGGAAGAGCTTCTCCCGCTCTTCCTCGCTGACTTGCCACCAGCGCATCCACGCCGCGCAGAAGCCCTACCGCTGTCCAGCCTGTGGCAAGGGCTTTACGCAGCTCAGTTCCTACCAGAGCCACGAGCGCACGCACTCGGGCGAGAAGCCCTTCTTGTGCCCGCGCTGTGGTCGCATGTTCTCCGACCCCTCAAGCTTCCGGCGCCACCAGCGGGCACACGAGGGCGTGAAGCCCTACCGCTGCGAGAAGTGCGGCAAGGACTTTCGGCAGCCGGCCGACCTGGCCATGCATCGGCGGGTGCACACGGGCGACCGGCCATTCAAGTGCCTGCAGTGTGACAAGACATTCGTGGCGTCCTGGGACCTCAAGCGGCACGCGCTGGTGCACTCGGGCCAGCGGCCATTCCGCTGCGAGGAGTGCGGGCGAGCCTTCGCCGAGCGAGCCAGCCTTACTAAGCACAGCCGGGTGCACTCGGGTGAGCGCCCCTTCCACTGCAATGCCTGCGGAAAGTCCTTCGTGGTCTCATCCAGCCTGAGGAAGCACGAACGGACCCATCGAAGCAGCGAGGCCACAGGGGCTCCCCCGCAACAGGAGCTGGTGGTGGGGCTGGCACTGCCGGTCAACATGGCTGGCGAGGGCTCCGCCGCCCCGGCATCAGGGGCGGCGCTCGGAGACCCTCCAGCTGGGCTGCTGGGGCTGCCCCCGGAATCGGGTGGTGTGATGGCTACCCAGTGGCAAGTGGTGGGCATGACGGTGGAGCACGTGGAGTGCCAAGATGCAGGGGTTGGGGAGGCTCCTGGTCCCTTGGGGGCGGCAGGTGAGGTGGGGGGTGAGGAGGTGGATGCGAAACCACCCCAGTTGGTGTGCCGGGAGTGCAAGGAGACGTTCTCCACGCTGACATTGCTGCGACGGCATGAGCGCTCCCACCCAGAGCTCCGGCCCTTCCCCTGCCCCCAGTGCGGCAAGAGCTTCTCAGACCGGGCTGGGCTGCGCAAGCATAGCCGCACCCACAGCTCCGTGCGCCCCTACACCTGCCCCCACTGCCCCAAGGCCTTCTTGAGTGCCAGCGACCTGCGCAAGCACGAACGCACCCACCCTGTGCCCACTGGCGCCCCCACGCCCCTCGAGCCCCTCGTGGCTTTGCTAGGAATGCCTGAAGAGGGACCAGCCTGAGGTCCAGGTCCCCTCTGCCACACTCCTGGGAACCCTGCCCCTATGAGGTGCTTCCCGAACCCCCGCTTTGCCCCAGCTCACTCTTAGACTTCAGATCCATCTCTGTGCCCAGGCAGCTAGCTCATCTTCCTGACAAAGCTGGGGACAGTGGTGGCTGGTAGCAGTTGGTGGGAGACCTGGCTCCCTCCAAGCACCACTCATTAAAGCATTCACTTGACACTGGGTTGTCTTCTGTGTTCTGGTTGGGGGTAACAGAGGAGTTTGGCACCTGATAAGGTTTAGTGGAGATCCCTGGACTGACAAGTTAGAAACTAGAAGGGTCTTTGGGTGCATTGTTTTCTCTAAATATGTTTTCAGAATATCTTGTGACGAAGGGTTCCATGGTCAAGTAAGTACCGGGAATTCCTGTACCTTCTTGGGAATTCTTGGTGATCAAAGTATATTAAAGTCATTGATAAATCCTGCAATGAACAAATCTGTTTAGCTTTCTTTAGCCCATACTTATTTAACCTTTTACTGAGAGTTCTACTTCTGTCTTTTTACAGATTATAAACCAAGGCCAAAGTTATTATATTTCCTGTAAATTACAATAACAGACTAGAAAATATACTTGAAGTCCCATTTTCAATAACAACAAAACCCATAAACTACAAAGGAATAAAGCTCACGCAAAAACATACTAATCCTACATGAAGAAAATGGTATCTCTCCTGAAGGATATAAGACCTAACTGAATGAAGACATAACCATGTACCTGAATGGAAAGATACTATTAAAAGCTGTTGATTCTCAGTTTAATCTTTAAGTTCATTGCCATTCAAAAGGATATTTTTAACAGAACTTGAAAATCCTAAATTCCTGTGCAATATATATTTTTAAAAACAGTGGAAGTGATGTATTTGACACTAAAGTAATTTTTCAAAGACCAAAAATGGAAAAACAAAAATGAGGCCCTACAGTGTAAATTGGTACAACCTCTTGGAAAGACAGTGTGATGTTTATCAAAAGTTAAAAGCTTTGTGATGTATGTGATCATTATGCTGTACACCTTAAACACAGTGCCGTATGTCATATCTCAGTAAAACTGGAAGAGGGAAAAAGAAGCAAGCAAACACAGTTTTTAAAAGTAAAAGGACTTCCCTGTCGGTCCAGTGGTTAAGACCCCTCACTTCCAATGCAGAGGGCATGGGTTTGATCCCTGACTGGAGAACTAAGATCCCACAAGCCATGCAGCACAGCAAAAAAAAAAAAAAAAATGCATACACTTTTCCACTCAGCAAATACACCTCAAAGAATTTACATCACAAGTTTCTTTTTCCAATTCTGTGACAAAACTGAAAATGAAGCATTGTTCAGTGCAGCAAAATGTGTGATGACTGGGAACACCCTCTGTGTCCATTACAAAGGACTAAAAGCCACTGTAAAATATGCAACAGTTTCCAAAAAAATTAGGCTTATCAATCTATGTCATTGAATAATATCCCAAAAAAATGTCAAATGAAAAACTGCAAAGCAGTGTGGTTAGAATCCTCCCATTTGGGCCAAATTACTCATAAGTGCTCAAATTCAAGCTATAGAGTATTTCTAGAAGGATCCTCAGGAACTGATTCTGAACTACAAATTCCAACTACTAGGGCCTTTCACAATTATAAGACAAAACAAGGCCAAAGGTCACAGTGAACCAGATCCTCCTTTCCACACTGGCACCTGTAGACTTAGGGGCCACCAAGTTGGCAGCCTTAGGAAGTGTCTGGTGTTCAGCCCCCCTCCAGCCCATGTGGTAGCACCTGAAGCAGAAGTAGTAGGTATCACCTTAAGTGTCAGGGACCTCACATCCATTCTCCATAGCAGAACAAGGGGGGCACATGGCAACAGCAGGGACCAGGCTGTAATGGCTGCAGAAAGAGGGCACCAGTTTGACCAAGGACACTCACTGGCCATACTCACACCCAGAGCAGGATAAGCACTGTCCCCAGGCCTCCTTCCTGTCCAGGCTGGGATCAAAGTCTAAGGGACCAGGAAAGAAACTGACATCAGATTGGGAGACTGAAAGTAGGAGAACTTTTGTTTACTACTGACTTGATTTTTGGCCTCGAACAAGATGATTTATCTTGGGGGTTAGGGTGGCACCTTTTAAAAATATATTCGTGTAAAGATACCATATGGACTTCCCAGGTGGCACAGTGGTAAAAAATCATCTATCAAACAGGAGACTCAAGAGATGCAGTTTCCATCCCCGGGTGGGAAAGACCCCCCGGAGTAGGAAATGGCAACCCACTCTAGCATTCGTGCCTGGAAAATCCTGTGGACAGAGGAGACTGGCAGGCTCCAGTTCATGGGGTCACAAAGAGTATTTGGGCACAATTGAGCGCATGTACATACACATACACAAAGAAACCATATACACTAATTGATAGATCTCCCTGGCTATCTATCTACAATGAAGGATGGAGTGGGTTCCCTGAATGTTCAGAAGAGATCCACAACTCCTGCTCCCTTTTGGGCCCAGACAATCCGCCCATCCCTTGGTCCCCCTTCTCTGACACCCCCAGCATCCTATAACCAAGTTCCTGCTCCCTGAAGACTCAGTCTGACTTTCAAAAAAATTAACAGTGTTATTAAAATTCATGGAGAAGAAAATGGCAATCCACTCCAATATTCTTGCCTGGAAAAGCCCATGGACAGAGGAGCCTGGGGGGCTGTAGTCTATGGGGTTACATGACTGAGCATGCGCACACATGAGGAGGGTGGAGGGAGATGGGTTGGTAGCAATAAACTGGCAAAACTAAACAAAAATTAATACACCCTACAATTAATCTGTCTGAAGTATATAATTAAGGGGGTTTTAGTATATTCACAGAGTTATGCAGTCATGATCTAATTTTACAATATTTTCATACCCCCTAAAAGAAACTCCATACCCCATAGCTGTCACTTCCTATTGATCCCAAGCCCCCATTCCCTGACAATCCTTTACCCTCAGCTCTAGGTAATGGATAATTTGTTTTCAGTCTCTCTAGATTTGCCTGTTGTGGACATTTCATGTAAATGGAGTCATATAATATGTGGTCTTTTGTGACCAATTCTTTTACTTAGCATAACATTCTCAAGGCTCATCCATGTTGTATTGACAGTTTGATCAGTTCTTTCCTTCTTATTGTCAATATTCCATTGTATGGATATACTACTCTGTTTATCCATTCATCAGCCGAAGGGCATTTGGGTTTCCATTTTGGTCTATTATGAGTAACACTGCTGTGAACATTCATGAACAAGTTTTTGTGTGGACATCTTTTTAAATTCTCTGTGTATATATCTAGGGATAGAATTGCCGGATCATATGGTAACTCTATGTTTAACCATTTAAGCAACTGTCAGGCAGTTTTCCAAAGTGACTGCACCATTTGATATTCCCACCACCAAGGTATGAATGTTCCAATTTCTCCACATCTTCATCAACAGTTGTTATTATCTGTCTTTTTTAATACAGCCATCCTAATAGGTGTAAATTCATGGTTTTGATGTGTATTTCCCTGGTGGAAAATGATATTGAGGATCTCTTCATGCACTTATGGGGCATCTATATATCATCTTTGGATAAATGTCTGTTCAAGTCCTTGGCCCATTGTCTTCACTGGATTGACTCTGTTGAGTGATAAGACTTATGTATTCCAGATACAAATTCTTTATGATTTGCAAAAATTCCTTTCCATTGGGTGGGTTGTCTTTTCACTTTCTTAATGGTACCCTTTGAAGCACATTTTAAATTTTGATGATGTCCAAATTGTCTATTCTTTTTCTTATTGCCTGTGCTTTGAGAGGGACTTCCCATGTGGCATTAGTGGTAAAGAACCCACTTGCCAGTGCAGGAGACTTCGGAGACATGGGTTCGATCCCTGGGTCGGGAAGATCCCCCAGAGGAGGGCACAGCAACCCACTCCAGTATTCTTGCCTGGAGTATCCCATGGACAGACATAACTGTCCATGGGGTCATAAAGAGTCAGACATGACTAAAGCCACTTAGCACCATGCACTCACACATGTGTTTTGAGAGCCATATCTAATAACCCATTTTCTAATTCAAGGTCATGAAGATTTATGCCTATGTTTTCATCTTAGAGTTTTATAAACATTTACAAAGTTTATAACTTAGTTATAAGCTTAAAAGTTTAAAATGCATAAGTTTTTTTTAATAAATTTAAAGTTTTTATAGCTAAAAGCTCTTCCATTCAGATTTTTGATCCACTTTGAGTTAATTTTTGTATATGGTTTGAAGTAAAGGTCCAACTTCATTCTTCTGCATATGGATATCCAACTATCCCAGCTCTATTTGTTGAAAAGACTATTCTTTCTCCATTGAGTCGTCTTGACTTTCTTGCTGAAAGTAAACTGACTATAAATATGAGGGTTTATTTCTAGACTCTCAATTTTATTCCCTGGGTATATATCATTCTTTATGCCAGTATCACACTGTTTTGCTTACTGTAGCTTGGAAGTAAAATTTTAAATCAGGACTTGTGAGTCCTCCAACTTGTTCTTCTTTCAAGATTATTTTTGTTTTTCTAGATCCCTTGCATTTCCATATGAATTTTAGGATCAACTTGTCAATTTTTGCCTAAAAGAAAAGGAAACTGGCTGGGATTCTGATAGGGATTGCACTGCCCCCGTAGATCAATTTGAGGAGTATTGTCATCTTGACAGTATCAAATCTTTTGACCCATGAACATTTGGGTGTTTTAAATTTTATTTAGATTTTAATTTCTCTCAACAGTGTTTTATAGTTTTCAAGAGTATAAGTCTTACATTTCTTTTGTTAAATTTATATAGAAGTATTTTTTCTTTTTGTTGTTATTGTGAATGGAATTATTTTCTTTCTTTTTTGGATTGTTCATTGCTAGTGATGAGAAATACAATATATTTCTGTACACTGTTCTTATATTCTACAACCTTGCTGAGCCGGTTTATTAGCTGTAATCTTTTTGTGTATATGAATTCCTAAG